TCCTTTAGGAAAACTAACAGAAGAAGGGGAATCCCACATATATATAAGACAAATTCCTTTGTCTTACGAAAATTGGAAACAACGTCACCAATAAATTGTACTGCGGTTGATGCTAGTAATAACTGAAATATATTTACACTATATACATATTCAAAAAGCGATTAGAATAATTATAGTACAAGATCGTACGCAGGGTTACCTGAATCAACAACAAGTACAGCTTTACTTGATTATAATTATTAATACATAATTATTAACTAATTATTAAATTTACAATTACTATAAATAAAAATTGATAATATTGCTTGGCGACAGACACCATGAATCTCCCACGTATCTCAACGTGGTTACTGCTGTTATCACGCAGTTACGACTGACGAGTGCGAACGGCCGCGTATCTCGCTTGGCATGAGTGTCGAGCAGGAACGACCTCTGACGTGTCGCGCTATAGTTTGGACTAGCCCAAACTTACATATATATTCATCTATAGTCGGAGAATAAAAACCTTGTTGGCAGACCGGCATCCTAATAGCGTCGGCCGACAACAATGGCGTGAACGCGCCAATGAAAAAATATAATAAGCCACGTGCTCAGTATAAACATACTAGTGGAACCCGAGACTCACTACAGCTAGCTAAAATTTTTAAAGAAATAATGGCAAAGATGGAGCTAAAGCGCGAAGAAATTAAACCAAATTTTGTAACGCGAAAAAGAATGGGATCAGATGCGTCCACGCCGTCCATAGAAATAGAAAATGGTTGATCTGGAGATTTATGCGATAGTCGTCAATTTAAGTAGCAAAAATATATAAATTTATTAACAAGATACAACTAAACTCTTGGACGCCATATACATATAGGACTAACTTACATTTCGACCGATACGTTCAACTTGGGTTTAGTTAGTCTAGTACCCGCATAGGGAGGAAGGGCGCCAGTGTACCGTATCGATACACTAGGCACGTATCGCCACAACCACTCCCTCCCTAACATTTAACCTATCTTATWCTTAACAATATGTACAGTCTTTGAGGTTAATAATCTTTGGTACCTAATAAGTTTTAAATTGCACAGTTTTCTTTTCTTGTAGGTTTTCAAAAAATGCTGGTTTTAAACGTTCTGTAGACATATTTGTTGCTATTCCTTTGTAATCTATTTTAAAAACATGATCTGTCAGTCTTTCTATTATTGGAAATGGTCCTTCGTATAGCGCGTCTGACTTTTTCATTGCGTCTACTCTTAMAAAAACATGGGTGCAGCTGTACAAGGTTTTATGTACGAAAGGTTTGCCTTTTATATGATGTGCTGTTGGTACAGGACGTATTCTTCTCATATGTTCTCTGAATTTTTCTATATACATCTGTGGATTATCTGGTAGCTCTTCRTTTAGAAAAAATTCTCCGGGAAGTCTTAGCGTTACTCCATATAGCATTTCTGCTGCGCTTGCTTTTAAATCTTCCTTATAGCTAGTACGTWAACCTAATAAAACTGTTGGTAAAATATCAACCCATTCTGTTGAACCGCTACAARTTATAGCTGTTTTGAGAGATCGATGCCATCGCTCTATTATTCTATTTGAAGCTGGGTGATAAGCTGTTGTGCGAGTTCTCGTGCAACCTAAAAGTTTAGTCAGTGCATTAAATAAYTGAGATTCGAATTGTGTACCTTGGTCTGTAGTAATTGTAACCGAAGCTCAAAATCTAGCGATCCATGTGCTATATAATGCGGTTGCYACTGTGTCAGCTGTTATATCTTTTATTGGAGTGGCTTCAGGCCATCTTGTAAAACGATCTATCATTATAAGACAATATGTATATCCTTTTGATGGTTGTAATGGTCCTACGATATCTATATGTATGTGTTCGAATCGTCCCTTGGGTACCTCTATTTTTTYCGGAGTGATTTTATTATGGCGTTGTATTTTGCTTTTCTGGCACTTAATGCATGTTCTACTCCATTCTCTGATGTCTGCGTTCATTTTTGGCCATACGAAACTTTTCGCGATGATTCTCTTGGTGTTTCTACCACTGGGDTGCGATAAGTTATGGGTGGCATTGAAAATTCTTTTACGTAGACTGTTCGGTAYGTATGGACGTATATCATCTTTCTCTATGTCACAATACAGGTGGGAATTTGAATCGTTTAATCTAATTTTGTACAGCTTTCACATGGGCATGCTTCCCTTTAAAATCTGTTGAAGTTCTTCATCTGTAGTTTGTTCTCTGATGAGTTCTTCAGTGGAAATTATGGTTCGCATGACAATTTGTTCGATTCTTGATAGCGTGTCTGCTATTTGGTTATTTTGGCCTGTTATATGTACTATTTTTGTKGTAAATTGGCCGATATAATCTAGGTGTCTTAATTGTCTTGGAGTGGCTTTGTCGGATTTCTGGTGAAAAGCTTGAGTCAATGGTTTATGATCGGTTCGTATAGTTATGTCTTGGCCTTCTAGGAGATGTTTGAAAAATTTTATACTTTTGTAGATGGCCAAAAGTTCTCGATCATAAGTGCTATATTTGAGTTGAGCTTTTTCGAGTTTTCTAGAGAAAAATCCGAGAGGTTTCCATTCGTCATTTTCCAATTGTTCCAAGACAGCTCCAATCGCTTTGTCTGAAGCGTCAGTTGATAATCGTAGTTTTGCGTTTTCCTTAGGATAGTGATGTATCTGATATTTGTTTTTTACATAACTCAAATGCTTCTTCTGYGAGTGGAGTCCATTTTATCGGACGTTTGTCTCTTTTTTTTGTTCCAGTTAGTAAGGAGTTTAGCAATATATGAGTTTCTGCTGCTTTWGGTATAAACCTCCTATAGAAATTTAGTATACCTAGAAAACGTCTTAGGTCTGCTATCGTTTTAGGTTTGGGGTAATTCTGAATTGCCTGAACTCGTTCTGTCAACGGTGCAATACCAGCAGAGCTTATTTSAAAACCTAAATACCTGACTTTTTCTTTTGCCAATATGCATTTGTCTATATTTATAGATAAACCGTACTCCTCTAATCTTTTAAATACTGTTTGTAGATGTTGDTAATGTTCTTCTACTGATTTAGAAGCTATTAATATGTCATCTATATAGCAATAACAGTATTGGAGGTCACGTAATACCGTGTCTATAAATCTCTGGAAAGATTGTGCTGCATTGCATAAMCCAAAAGGCATTACCAGATATTCAAATAAACCAAATGGTGTAATTAATGCTGTTTTTTCTCTGTCTTCAGGAGCTATGGGAATTTGATGATAAGCACGAGCGAGATCTAAAACTGAGTAWATTTTTGAGCCTTCTAACTGATGTGTAAAGTCRTGTATATGAGGAAGAGGATACCTATCTGGTTGAGTTATACTATTGAGCCTACGGTAGTCACCGCATGGTCTCCATTCTCCAGTTTTCTTCYTTACCATATGTAAAGGACTAGCCCATTGACTTTTTGACGGTTGACARATACCTTGTTTTAGCATTAATTCGAATTCTGTTTTTGCAGCTTTAAGGTTTTCGGGTGGAAGACGTCTCGCTTTTTCTGTAATTGGAGGGCCTTTAGTTAYTATGTAATGTTGAACTCGATGCTTTGTACTATTGGTGAAGTTTGGCTTGGTGATCGCCACGAATTTCCTTAGCAGCTCGTGACATCCATTATTGCTATTGATCGTAGTAATTGTSGGGTGACTGGAATTGCTAATTTCACCTCTGCTAGAAAGTTGCGTTTTGCCATCAATCAATTTTTTATTTTTTATGTCCACCAGTAAATTATAATATCCTAGGAAATCTACTCCCAAAATTGCTCTTGTTGTTTTTGCAACTGTGAACTTCCATATAAATTGTCTACGTAAGCCTAGGTTTATGGAAAGTACTTTTTTACCATAYGTATGAATGGTTGAACCGTTTGCAGCATATAGGTTATATTCGCTGTCTAATGTTCTCCTGTCACCAGATGTTTTTGGGATAACAGATATATCAGCGCCTGTGTCTATCAAAAATCTTATTCCGGATATTCTGTCTGGAATTATGAGGCGGCTTTGTCTCTGTGCACCATCTCCAATCGCCTCAATATTAGATGGTGTATCTAGTTTCCCTGTTTTCGCTGATCTGGACCGGTCCAGTTACAAGGTCTACGACATCCCCATGACTTTTCGCCAAATTTTGCAKGGAAATAGCATGGTCTATTCCTATCACGACTCCTAGATCTTGATTTATTCCTGGAATGATAAACTGGTCGATTATATCGTCTACCATGATATTTACCTCTTACTAAGGTTTCCAGGTGGGCCATTTTTTCTGTGAGCTGTGCCATTTCGTCGTGTAGTTTTCTATTTTGTGTTTCGTCTCCCGAGCTTTTGTCAACTATGGTTGCTACCTCATAATGCCCTGTTCTTTCTATTGTTTTATCGGCTAGGGTTGCTAGACGTTCGAAACCAACGTCTTCTACGACTGCTAGTACTTCCTGTATTCTCGTTGGCAATCTCTGTAACCATAGGGTTTGTAGGACTTGGGTACTTACATTGTCTCCTGCTAATAATTTCATTTCTCTTAGCAGAACTGAAGGTTTTTTGTTCTGTAGCTCCAAGCCTGTAAGGAGTTGTCGAAATTTTGATTCTTCCGACGCTGTTAAGCATGTGATCAGTGCCTCCTTTATTTCAGTATATGAATCGTTAGACGTGGTAGCAATTATGTCCGCCACAATTTTCAAGGTCGCAACGTCCAAATATCGGACAACTGCTGCGCTTTTTACGGCATCAGAGCGTACATTATAAGCTGCGAATTCACGCTCTAGCATCATGAACCATAGCATTGGTTCGTCTCTCATGAAAGGAGCTAATTTAACGCTACGAAATTCGCTTGCCTGTATCTCGGGTCCTATGTTCTCTGTTCGACTATCTGCGCCATTTCGTCCTTGAGAAAATTAGAGAGACCTTGGCGCCAGTGGACGGCGAGTTGACAACGAGATACACAACAGCTGCGATTGCGAATTGCGATGCATCAGAGAAGCCATGCAGTTCAACAGCTGAATCAGAGAGCGTGTTGAACCAACGTGGGATGGAGAGTCTGGCCAGACTGATGAGATCTTGTCTGATGCTGAGCCATTGTGAAATGAGCTGTTCTGAGAGGTTCGTCCCAGTCGAGATTATGCAACCAGAGAGCCTGAAGAAAGATCTTAGCTTTAATTATGACTGGAGATGCGAAGCCTAATGGATCAAATATTTGTGCTACTTCTGAGAGGACGAGACGTTTTGAGAATCGTTTGGAGGGAGAAGACGAGATTGTTGAGAAGTCGAACATATCCTGTTGAGGTAACCATCGAATACCAAGAATTTTGGTATCACAGTCATCGAATGAGATGCCTGAGGTCTCGCCAAGTTCAGACGAGACCTCTCTCAACAGTTGCTGAGAAGTAGAGTGCCACTTGGCCAACGGGAATCCGCCCGCATGGCAGAGCCGTATGAGATGTTGAGCAGTCTTCACGAGCTGTTCCACTGTATCGGATCCTCCGAAGACGTCGTCAACATAACGCCCGTGAGTGATCGGTTTCACAGCAAGAGGATGCTGAGAGCCTTCATCTTCAGCGAGCTGAAGCAGCGTTCTTACAGCTAGGAACGGTGCGGACTTAGTTCCATACGTGACTGTGGTGAGCTGAAAATGAGATTCAACCTGCTGCTCATTTACCCACACGATGCGTTGAAGATCCTGTTCATCTGGGTGTATCTTGATTTGCCGGTACATCTTGGTGATGTCAGTCGCAAAGAGATACTTGAGTTGACGTATCCAAATGAGCAAGTCGAAGATGTTGAGCATCAGATTAGGACCAGCTTGCATGATGTCGTTGAGCGAGTGACCAGTGGAGCTGGCACTTGAACCGTTGAAAACAACCCTGAGCTTCGTGGTGGAGCTGTCTGGCTTGAGTACCCCATGATGAGGCAGATAGTAATGTGGCCTTCTACCAACTGAGCTGTCATCGAGCTTGAGCATGTGCTGAGCTTGTTCATACTCTCGCATGAACTGAGTGTACAATCGGTCGTACTGAGTGTCTCTGCCAAGTCGCCTGAGAATTCGTTAGAGCGATCGATGAGCTGCCTGATAAGAATCTCCCAGGACTGTTGGGGGCGACTTGAGCGGCATCCTGACGATGTAGCGCCCTGTTGAGTCCCTTGAATGAGTGGTCTTAAAGTGGAGCTCACACTCCTGCTCCTCAGGAGTGAGCGATGAGTTGTCCGATGATGGAGGTTCTTCTTGGACCCAAAACCGTGTCAACAACTCTTGCAAGGATGAGTTTGATGCCTGAGAGCTGCCATGATGAGTTGTCCTTGCAAGTGTGACCGGTGCCTGAATTGGGCCTATGACCAGCCACCCAAAGATTGACAATTGAGCAATGGGAGTTCTTTCTGAGTGCCTAATGATATTAGGTCTGATGAGTTGGCCGTAGAGGTCTGCTCCAACTATAACCTCTACGGCCCTTGGAACGAGAAACTCTGGATCAGCGAGATTTAAACCCTTTAGGGGTGGCCATTCGGGTTCCTGTTGAGTCTTTATGGCCGGCAGGATGGTGGTAACTGTCTTTAACACGTGAGCTGAAATTGTCACTGTGAGTGGTCTATACCTTGATTGAAGGTTGAGCGTGACAACTCCTCTTGTTTGATAAGTCCGTTTTCCGCCGACACCATAAACGTCCAGCCTTGAGTGCCTTCGTTGTAACTTGAGCTGCTGGGTAAGCTTTTCTGAGACGAATGAGATTTCTGATCCAGGGTCGATGAGCAGACGAACTTGAGTTGATGTAGCTGCTGAGACGACTATCGCTGTCGCTGTGGCCAGCAATGTGAGATGACTGAGATGGGCTAAGCTAGACAAAAGATAATCGCAACTCTCAACGAGCTGCCCTGAGCTTCATGCTTGAGAGGACTTAGTTGAGGGAGAGGGTGTGTCCGACACCTCCTGAGCGGTCTAAGCCCCATCTCGTGGTGGTTCGAAGATGGTTGAGAGGTCGGCACCATGCAACAAGGTGTGATGAAAATCGTTGCATGACTTGCAATGCCGTCGGCTGTTGCACCTCCTCAGGTTATGCCTGCCTAGGCAATTGCAGCACAAGCTTCTGTCCTTGATCAACCTCACCCTTTGGTTGACCGAGTAGCCTCGCATTTTTGGGCAGATCGCGATATAATGATCTAGCCCACAACAGTCACACGGATATGTCGTTCGTGACTGAGCTGGACGAGAAGTCTGATGAGTGACCGACCTTGATGAGCTGGCTGGGGGCTGTTGAGATGCCTGATGTCAGCTTGTCCGAGTAGTCGTCGCCCATTTTTGCACATTGGGTTGAGCAGGCGTGGACAAGGCTTCCATAGTCTCCAATGTGCGAGCACGAGCGACCAGAAATTCCGTGAGCTGGCTGAGAGTTGGAAATTCATCGGTGGAGGCAAGAGATGTCTCCCATCTCTCACGAGTGTCACGATCGAGTAGGCCAGTAAGAAGGGTTACCATGAGGCAATCATTGTTGCTCTCCACCGTGAGCGTTCTGAGTGCCTGAGTAGTCTCGTTAATAATATTGACCATTTTAGTCAGCGATGTGGCTTGGCGCCTTTGCATCGGTTTGAGATTGAGAAGCCTTTCTAGATGAGATTTGATTATCAAACGTTTGCTCTCAAACCTTGATATGAGCTATGTCCAAGCCGAGTCATATGATGAGTTGTCTGGAGTTATGTTGGCCATGATCTCATAAGCCTCTCCCTGCATCGCTGACTTGAGGTACTAGAACTTCTCCAGGTCACTAAGGTCAAAGCGGTCTCCTATTACTGAGCTGAACATGGCCTTGAAATCAGGCCATTTCCGGCAATCTCCACTGAACGTCGTCACTGTCAGTTCAGGAAGCCGGGAGCGGGCACGAGCACCAGCCTCAGGTGGAGGAGCTGGTTGAGTTGTCTGTGTGAGCTGTTCCTTGAGTCGACCAAGCAATCTTTTTGTCTTCAGCATCAACTTCGACTCGTTGATGCTGACCATCTCAGTAAGATATGAATGTCCCATTTGGCTGGGAGTCCAATTGCAGACGAGCTGAGCGTGCTCTAGGCGAAATGTCTTATGCAGCTCCTCCAGCTGCTCGAGCATCATATTCACCTCTGTCAGGGTGATCGCTTCGGAGGGCTTACCAACCTGACTGAGTATATCTTCCATTGTAACAATGATCTTATTTTGAGCTTGCACACGCAATGTTAGTTCAGTACTGAGTGGCACTGGCGATTGGCTCCTGGTCCGGGGACCTTGGCCATGAGTAGACGTTGATGGTACCGCCAGGCTGGTCGGTTGAGCTGTCTGAGGGGTTGCTTGGTCATCACCACTGCTTGTGGTCTTGGCTTTTTGGTCTTGATCACGCACAAGCACCATCGTGATGATTAATCGAGAAATCTATATTGAAAGTCACTGCTTAATGAGATCAAACTGAGAGTCACTGATAATAAGAAGTGCCAATGAGAAGACAATGTCGCGATAGATAACGGCACTATTTAGTAAACACCGGGAACGAGATGACGATACCCCGCTACTCGGGAGTGAGAGTGGGGGAAGTGTTCGCGGGTCGCGCGAAGCGAGGGAGACGACACGTACTCGCAAGAGAGATGGCTAAATCCCACCCTACTCGAGAGTGAGAGAAGGGGGGCGGCTCACGCGTCACACTAACGCGAGCGATATGGTACTATTTCTCGCGACGCAAGAGCGGGCGTGAGACGGCACTACGTCACGCGTAGTCGCACGACTTGAGATGGCACTATTTCGCGCGAACAAAGCGACTGAGATGGCACTACTTTTCGAGCAACAAGAGAAGGCGTGACACGGCACTACGTCACGCGTAAGAGCACTACTTGAGTTGGCACTACTTTCCCGAACAAAGAAATTGAGATGACGAAATACACCGCACACAATGAACTTTACCAATTTTTACAAATCGGAACTGCAAATGCTCGATCCGGCTCGAAGGACCAAATGTTGAGGAATTGAGTGGTCTAAATGAGGAGAACGCCGAGCATTTGCTGTAAGTGGTCAGATTTATTAAAATTCGTACGAGTACACCGCGTGTCGGTTGAGATTCAAAATGAGTAGCCGTTGAGCGGACCACGTTCCGAACTTTACACAGAGAATATCACAATGAGTGGACTAGAGACGGCCTGATTATATTAATCAGTTATGAACCGGACGATGAGGATTATATTAATCCCATCGAACTTGTACTTTGTGAGAAGACGTATAACAAAGTTGAGAAGACGCGTGCGGTTGGAACGAGTTGTTGAGAACAATGATGAGAAGACACGTGTGGTATATGCGATGACAAAGAGATGACTGACTGACAAGCCGGCGTCAAGATGATTCTTCAACCGCCGTGATGAGTTATGACGAGTCTGCATTGAGCGACAACTGTTGCGAGTTCTCATTGGGCAGATTAAATCCCAAACACACACTATATCTAATTTGCGCTTTTTCTAGTTTTCTTGAGAAATATCCTAGTGGCTCCCATTTGTTATCGCAGAATTGTTCTAACACTGCTCCAATTGCGTTATCGGAAGCATCAGTCTTCAACTTTAATACTGCTTTTTCTTTTGGATATGCCAATAACGTTGCTGTGGCAATTGCTTC